CGCCGCCAGCCGGGCTCCTCTCGGCTGCAGAGGCTCGTCCCCGCTCGCTCAGCGCCGCAAACTCCTCCTTAGTGCGAGGAGTTAGGTACGTGCTACAGAGTAAGTCCAAACTGACCGTTATGTTGACAGTCCTGGGAGTTCACGGTGACGTGAGTTGTTCAAAATGAATCTTGTTCCTTCCTCTGAGCATCTGCAGTGTACCGTGCTGTCTCGTGCTCTTCCTTTTTCTGACGTGAATGCAGGTGTAGACATCTGTCAGCAGATGTTGCTTTTGAATAGATCTAAAGAACTTGGAACAACTTGTAAGACTCTTGCCTTGATTAGCAGGTAGGTGAAACAGTATCGGATCTTCTGTCCCTGACCGCCTGTACCAGAAGGTTAGATGCCATTATGTAACTCTGGAAAGCCAAGAGCAAAAGAGACTTGGGATGCAGAGCATCTAGAGACCAATGTAATCCCTCTCCACAGGGGAGGAGCAAGGAAGACGACTTGCCAGAAGATCCAAAACCGATGTGAAGGTGATTCTGAAACTCTGAGTAGAGGACTCCTAGCCTGAGCTGTTGAGCTACTCGGTACAGGTATGTGATAGACTCTTAGGGTACTTGCAGGCTGAAGATTTGAACTAAGTATAAAAACTGCTTGAATATCAGAAATGTATGGGTGCTATCTAGCTGCTGTTAGACAAAGCCATTAAAAAACCCCAAACCACACATTTGGAGAACTACCTTGAATGTGTAAATAGAAGAAGTTTTTTTAATCAGCAAACTTAATGTTGCTATCTCAGCAATTTTTCTAATATATCAAGAATGAAGCTATGCCATAGGATAGACACAGCATGTTACTTCTGATAACTGAATGTCAGAATTGACCTCGTTATCTTATCAGGACAGACCTCCTATTAGAGCTCCATGTGGATGTGACACTGACAAATATAAATCTAGCATGTGACAGATGCTCTGCCAGCCATGCAATGGCCTCTGAAGCAAACATAGTCTTAATACTAGAAATTTGCTTCTAGTTCTGCATAACTGGCTGACTTGCCTGACGGGCAGTTGCAGTGTAAACCTATTCCACTTGCTATGCTACTGAGAAGGTCTGCCTACTCTTGAAATTGTGTCGCTGTGTCTGGGAAACTTCCTAGACTGCTGCTCTCCCCTCTCTTCATCTTACTGTCTTCTGTAAAATATTAACTTTGTGTGAAGCTTTAAAAGTGATTCTTGATTAAGGTACTACTACTCCTCGTGCAGAAACTAACTGCTATTTCAGTGAGTGCTGTTACTTACCAGTTTTTGTTCTAGTGTTTCTAATAGTTGCTGGAATACTAAGTTGCTGGAAGACTGTCCATAACTAATTAGCCACAGAAAAGCCTTTTTTAGCTGCCTTCCTTGCTCTTTTATTCCTCATCACATGTGTAATAAGGGTTGGGAGGAGAAGATTTGCATTGAAGGCTTCTACTAAACAGCTCCCTGCTTCTAAAATAGCCTCTGGCCAAGCCCCAGTTTGTGCAAGGTAACTTGGCTTTATCAGAAAGAGGTGGCATTAACTGGAGTTAATTAAGAATAACAGCGATCCCACTTTTTTTTTGGAAGTGGTGAAGCCGGAGCACTCCTGTATTGTAAACGCCTAACTCTTTATGGCTGGGAAGTGTGAGTGCTGTATTGCACTTGTGTGCCAATGGTAGAATTACAGCTCTGACTTCCCCAGAGGGTTTTCCCCTCATATTCCATTGGCAATAAGGATGCTCTTGTGATGAGTACGCAGCATTCCCCAAAAGTAATCTTACTGGCATATACAGGAAAAAGCATTTTTCACAATTAGTAGCATGTAGTGCAAGCTGCTGTTACTTTGTCTCTTGAAGGTCTTAACATGGGAGGCTTTTTAACTAAGCAGTCATTACTACATCTTTTTTTAATTTTTTAAGCTGAAGGTCACTCTGGTAGTTTTACTCTCATTTCCTTTGCCCTGCCCCATTCAACTTTAGGTGAAATACTGTTATAGAAAGTACACCTCCCACCTTCCTCCCCCCCGCCTGCAAACCCAAAAAAACAAAGCCCAAAGACTTAATACTTGCACCTTAAACATAACTGCTTGAGGACTTTGGTATATTTGGGTGAACTATAATAGATTTGCTTTTGAAGCCTCTTCCTATAGCTTTGGCTTCTATGGTAGCAGTATTTCTTTTCAGAAACATGCCTGCAGGCGTTAACAATAGTGAACTTAGCAGCAGAATGCCTATAATCCTGAAAAACTTGGTTTAGAAACTAATGCCAGCCTTGCATTGAATTTGTCCCCTAGCAGCCTTCTGCAATTTAAACTGCCTTTCTGTTTGTCCTTTACTTACAGCTTCTGAATTGGATAATAAAACTTCACAAATGAAGTTCTGAGTAGAAGCTGGTATTAGGCAAAAAAGAAAAGATGCACTTATTAATGGAAAAATGGTTTATAGCTGATGTTTTCACTTCTTGATTGCTGTAAGAACTGAGATAGGCTATTTGCAGTTCCCACCAGTGAATATAACTAATCTTGCTAATGAGTAAATAGGCTTAGATGCTTGCTTTGATAGCAAGTGTAGTGGGAAGGGATATAGCACTAGAAGTGCCACCAAATATATATGGATGGTGTTAGCAATCCCTTTGAAGATCAGGAATTTACAGCTTTTAATATCTTATAGTAAAAGTAATAAATTAAGTCAGTGCTGCTCCTGGTATGCTCATGGGCTTTTTTAGCTCAGGTATGCTTTAAGGGAAAAGTGGGTCTGAAAGCTAGTTGTAATCTCCAGTATTTCTCCCATCAAGAAGTGGGAGAATCAGCTTAATCTGGAAAGAGTAGTGAGGTTGGAGTTCAGTGTCTAGAAAACAACACAACTACCAGAGAGGCCTTTGGTTTCTCTTGCATGTTGTAACTATACTAGTAAATGTACTGTGCTAAGGATAGAATTAAGGCTGCAGGAAAGCTTTAGCTTTAGGTGTACAGTGCCCTAAAGCCAGAAAAATAGCAGCATGAACTAGCAACAATACTGTAGCTTTCAGTGCCAGAACACTGAAGGTGTTTGAAACAAAACTATCCAAAGCTAATAAAACAACAGTGCTACCATCCCAGTTACTATCATGCACCATTAACTAGCTGTTTGTGCCATTGTAAATCTGTACAGATGCTTAATACCTGATTTCATGTAGGGTGCTGGCTCCAGGCTCCTTGAGTGGGAAGGAGAAGAGGATACGCCTGCAGAAGGAATGACTTCTACACTTTCTCATTGAGAAGTGGAGTTTAAGTGCTTTGAAAAAGTGACCTTGAATTTTATCTGGTTGTGCTTTTCCTAGAAAGTGAATGTCGATGGAATAATCTTTCCAAAGATATGTAGGCTTGTTTACTCCTACAACTCTTAGCATTAACTATGGTATGGTGCAAAGATGTGAGGAGCTTTCCAAATAGAAGCTAGAAAGAGCTTCTTGATGCAACCTGATTATCTTGACAGTATTAATGTGAGATCACACTTGTTTCTGTGTCTAGAGAAAGGGAATTTACTGGGCAGTACATCCAGAGGAAGTTGTGCTCTCTTCTGTCCCAGAGTTCAAACTGATGCAGATCCTTTGAATTTTTAATCAAATCAAAAAGCATTCAGAATTTTAAAGGTAAAAACCCATAGATTTGGCCAAGAAAGATCTTTAAGAGGAATCTGTAAGTTGCTGTGTTGCACTCAAATTTGGACTGGAAATTGTTTAATAAGGGTAAATAGGTCTTGTGCATCCTGGAGGTTCTAGTTCTCCATCTCTAACACTTTCTACCTTGCCATATCAAAGCAAAATCACTTGAGACACCCGAGAGCCTAACCCAGCTAGAAGTGACTTTCTAGTGTAAACAGAGTGAGTATTCGTGTATAGCATCCTGCCTCAAGGACAGGTCCTGCAACTTTCTGTTCTGTTTGGATCTACTACTGTTAACATCTCTGTTGTCTTAAAGAGCTCTTCTAGTTAGTTGGTGATAATAAATACAAATGATCCCTTAGACTGGAAGAGTTTGATAATATTCTTCATTGTGTGTAAAGTTAGGAGCAAGACTTCTACAAGAAAAGATGATCTCCAGTTGTTAAATCTGTCCTTTTTCAAAGGATTCATGTGAATTTATTTTAGAAGGAGCTGTCATGAATAAGCTGAGTTGACTTGCTAGAGCAGAGGATGAAGAAACAAAGCTGTCATACCCAAAATAATCAGCATGTTCTTCCTGGCCAGCTCTGCACCTTGAAACTCTCTACTGATGCTCCTGACTGGCATCTGCTGTAGAACTTCATATATTCTAGAAGCATCAGCTGTGTGGGAGTTGCCAGTGACTGAAGTCACCCACTCATGGAGTCCATGTGGGCCTGCAAGGTTCTTCCCAGTGCCTGCTGAGAAATAAGACTGAGACAGACTTGGGTCTGATCTTTGTACAGTTTAACAACAGGATTTTTCCAAAAGGTGGAAGTAGGGGTTAAATTGCCTCACAACTTCAAGCAGGCAGTAGCAGTGTTATTAAGCAGTAATTGTGGTGTTAAACAGAACTGTCCAAGAACAGTAAATAAGAATTAAGAAAGTACTCACGCAGCTCTTCACACAAGGACAGCAATAAATGCCTACCTCTCATAATTCCTCTGAACTGCTCCTGTGCATGCTTTGTTCAGAAAAAGCACCTTCCCAAACAGTGGACTTCCTGGTCCAGCTGTACTCCTCAGGATCCCCAAAGAAACTGGAATGGTAAGAGCCCAGTGTGCAACCTGATAAGAGAAAGCCTTGTCTTAAGACAGAGGTCTGCACCCTTAAAGAGCCCTGTTTCTCTCTCAGATAGGAACTTAGAGACCTGCCTGTGTTTTTCCAGGTCAAACTGAGACCGTTGCAGTCTGCAGCTGTTAAAAAGGGGGAGGGAGAAATACATTCTCTTACCAGGTAGATTTAGTCCTTCGTTACCTAGACCTAACATCTAGCTCTTGTTTTCAACTTGTTTCTCAAGACTGCTTGCAAATGTCTGTGCCTTGCTAGCTATTACGCTGAGGTCTAAAAACAGCTTGCCAAAAGACCCTGGCGATACAGAGGATGGTGATGTGCAAAGTTTCATACCTTATATAGCTGATGCTGCCTACTCACGTGAAGTCCCGCAGAGTGGTAGCATTTGCAATGCTAGTTTCCAGTATCAAAAGCTATTTTCTAAGTGACAGTAACTGTTTAGTTCTAATAGTAAGGTTATGTGCTGCACCAAACTGCTGTAGAGAAACAATGCTAGTAGGCTGTCATTGCTGCTAGCAATTGTGCAAGCTGCAGAAGAGGGCTTAATGTGGACGTGCAGTGCCTGCACGAGAAGCAAGGTAAACTATCTTTTATGCTGATGCTGTACTGTTGTGGCTAGATCAAACAGTGCTGCAGTTCAGACATGCCCTGAGGAAAATGAACTACATGAAAGTCACTCTTAATCACCCTCAGCTGATCACCTTGTGTTGAATAAGCACTGCAGAACCAAGATGATCATGACAAAAATCATACACCTCTCTGGCTGCAGTGGGCACATAGCTCTGCTGAGGGTGTGTGGTGTGGCTAGTTTTGTTTTTCTTACTTGGGCAAAATTGGGTCTGCAGGACTTGGTTGGCTGTATCAGTTACACTTCAAGCTATTGGCTGCTGTAGTTTACAGGACTGGAAATGTAGCCAGAGTGTGTGCAAGTTAGTTATGTCACATTGGACCCTAGTGACACTCATGCTGAACTTTAGTGGATGTGTCCTTGCTGAAAGGGCTACGTGGCAGTGTGCACGGATCTGCCATTCCATGAGACATCAGGGAATAAACTTAGTCTCTAGCTTGAGTTCTGTTGGTAGAGATAGTGCACTGCCTTGACTCTTTCATGTTGAAATGCTGGTGAGAATTCAAGTGCAGTGGATAACACTCACAATAACCTAATGGTTCTGGCTCAAGGTTTGTTAAGGCTGACTTCTCCTGAGGGGTTTGTATGAAGATGCTGCTGTTGCAGCTGAGAGACTGCAACAAGGATGGTGAGGAAGAGCCTTTCCTGGAAAGGGGGAAGGGAAGAATCTTCCATGGGAAGATCATGGAACAGAGCTGAGAGACTGCAACAAGGATGGTGAGGAAGAGCCTTTCCTGGAAAGGGGGAAGAATCTTCCATGGGAAGATCATGGAACAGATCCTCCTGGAAGCTATGCTAAGGCACATGGAGGACAGGGAGGTGATTCAAGACAGCCAGCAAGGCTGGCTCAGACTTGCTTTCAACAAGGGCAAGTCCTGCCTGACTGACCTAGTGGCCTTCTATGATGGGGTGAC